TTCGTAAACAACATCGGTGAGAGAAGGCAGTGAGTAGGATTTCCCTCGCGTGGCCATGCGAGAGCATTTCGAGAAGGTGAGCTAACTCTCCCCTCTCTCGGCCGTACCAGAGCATTTGGGGTCCAATATTGACTAAAACAGATACGTTTATTTCCTTAACTCAACACTTCAACAACAGTATACTCAAATCATTAACGTCTAGTTAGCACTGTAATCATCTGTTGTTTTCAAATTGATTTAAGAATTCGAAGAATACTAATAGTCAAATGGATGGTATTGTGATACAGAGGTTGCATGTCACTGGCCTTTTCACGTCTTTAGGACTTAGATGAACCAAATGATTATATTTTCCATAAATACACTGTTATTCACTGCATTGATTTTCACCACTGGTTTGTCAGATATATTCTAGAGGTATCATAACTATTCCTTCAGTGTGTATTTCTATTGCCTTTAATGTGAACATAATAAGAACGAATAACAATAGCACTGAATAGTCTCAAGAACCAAGTAAATTTGTAGCTTCATGATTGATAGCATATTGGTATCCTAAAAATGAATTCTGACGGCCAAATATTCCGATGCTTTACTGGTTTGATCTGTCTCAAATTCATCTATATTTAAATCCAGTGTGAATCGTCTAGATGAAATACGTATTTGTATTGCATACAATGAAGAAAGTGTTTATGCACAATTCAGTCTAGCACATACGTTGGTAGTTACAAATGACTTGATGTATTGTGGCGGAAGACTGCAAACACAAATGAAAAGATTATACTGATTATAAAATGATGATGTCAGTGAAGTGCGAGACTCATCAATGATTATAAACACTACAGATTGCGTTATTTTACTCATCGTATAATCGAAAGTGCACTCAAATTCCTACGTTCTAATATGTTAGTGGAGTGGTTACAAGTACGTTCCACAATAATTCTTGATCATGTTAATTATTCTTTTATCAACGTTGGTTGCTTTTATATGAGCGTATTTGTGTGTTCAAATTTTATTCTATTCATTACACGCCTCTAGCTGATTTTAGTGTGACCATAAATATCGATTTATGCTTGGATAAAGTGAGTTGGCTCATATGCCTTCTCCACTGTGCGTCATTTTGCTTCGATCACTTCTATTTTCTTCGTCTCTCTGATTATCTGTCCAGATTAATGATTACACAAAATGAAAGTATTCCAAAATCTTTTCTCTTAGATGACTTATTTAATATCGTTATTCACTAACGCGATTAATTTCGGCGAGATATACGCGGATATGCGACATATATATTAAGACAACAATCATTCATTAAGGAGCATATGTCAAGTCTTACTGGAATCACATCACGGGCCACAAATTTCTTAATAATTGAACCAAAAAAATACAGTTTAGATGGAGGATTACGTACAATTTTGCACTCGTGCTAATTCAATGTCGGTTATTTATTTAATCTGGAAAGATGCACGACATAGCGTCTCGCAACCTCCAGAATGTCATCCGCTTACTCATTAGGATAAAATAAATTGTATACTTATTACTAGTTCTTTATCCAATGCTCAATCCTTTGGAAAACATCAAATCTATCCTTGATAATAAATAATGTTTTTCTTTCATTCTTCTTTCAACATTTAACAACATGATCTAATGAAAAAACATTTGTGACTATTAGAAATAGAGCTAGCGACCGTAATGTATCGTGGTAACTGGTAGTTCTCACATCTATGGAATACATAATCTAGTAATAAAGAATTATTCATTACACATTCAAATACGCGATAATACCGTTCACGCACGGGAATGTGTTGTAATAAAATGAGAATAATGAACGCATTCACGTAAAAAACACTCATCAGCTTATAGAGAGATAAGAGTTTTACTGAAATAATTAAGCTATCTCATATATATTTTACATCTTACTGATCCTTCTCATATTCAAAGACAATTAACTTGAAACCTAGCTTCCGATTCCAATTACGGCTTTTACTAATGATTCTTCTAATAAGGCTAACTGACTGGAGTTAACCATGCAAGGTGTTGGATATCGGATCAGAAATCTAGAGATTAAACGATGAGCGCAAAATCTATCTAATCATCGGTGAGATCTACGATGCACACTTCTCAAGAGTTCTGATTGTGCAACGCTTTCTACTTTGAAATGGAATTTTGACTCATATCATTCTGTAATGTTAAGTATAAGAAAATAACTATTGCTGTCCTCAATATTCTTTAATAAGGTCACAAGTTAATACTATCCTTGATCTGAAAACTAATCTACTTATGTGCATGTGTGCGTGTAACTAGTAACCTCACATTAGTTCCAACAAATTTCTCTTGGTTTAATGTCATGATTTTGTCATGCACTAATGTCTCACACGTCCATTGCATGTAATTTGTTGAACTTTGTATTCAACTTTCAACAGCCATTATGAGTATGATCGCGTTCATGATAACTTGATTGGATGAATTACATAAGCTCACTGTCAATTAAAACTATAAAAACGAACGTGTACATGATCGGTTGAAGGGACTAAATATTCTATTCTACAGGTAAGTAATTTAAAGATTCATTATTAAATTGATGTCTCATTAGCTTTATGGAATTCACTTATAGACGATGAATCCATATTGATGTATAATTTGTCAGTAATAAAAACAGTGTAATATAACATATCGTTGTGATCGACAAATAGTATAATTTTTGTAACGTCAAAATCCATCAATATTTAGTGGAGTTCACCACCTGGAGCGCACAAGTGTAATGCAATAGTGAGGATCATCCGAAGGTAATACTAAAAACTGTAAGACTCCAACCTGGTGATCTAAGGCTTAAGGAATCGACATGAGCCCCTACGTGATCATAATTGAACACTAATCTAGAGATTCATACTGGAACAATATGTCATATCTAGTGACCTTGAATCTCCTACAGTTGATATTCGAATCCAGTCATTGGTGAGGCGTTATGAGTTGAACAATCTTTACATATATATAACAAGTAATCTATGGGTAATGAACGTTTTCATTAGTCGTGATGACAGTTTATCAACGTCAATTTTGGCAGCTCCCTTGGCTTATGAAACAAAATCCGTTAACTATTCACCTCATAACACGAAAACACCAAATATCCGACCATTCTAAGGTGTTCAGGGAAAAGCTTTGTTACCAGAGACAATATAAACGTTAATTCTGTCAACTCATGTACATAGAATTAAGAATAGACTGTGAACATAAAACATAAATTGAATAGAAGTATTGTTATGAAAATTTACTGAATATCAGAGTTGTAGGAGGCGAAATCAAAGATCAAAGACGTCGAAATAAGGTTTTATAGAAAAGTGAAAATGTAACATTCAATGAAAAAGTTCCGCAAATCTTAGTGATACCCTGAGCTCACATATGCAGAAAGAGCAATTTAACAAGCTTCTAACGGAAGTAAAGTCGTGCATTTACACAGATCACGAGTTCTATACTTGTATAAGACGGATTTAGAGCGTTTTTCAGTTATGTGACAGAGGTCTGGTTAACATCCATTCGTGATATGAATAATTAAAAACGTCATTAGTTGAAATGATTTCTGTTGGTTTTCATGACTACCAAAACACTATTTATTCTTTGTTTCCCACTGACATTAACTGGTCAGGGTTTATGGTTACGTCTTATCTGAACTTGATGAAAGTTAGAGTCAGTGCGTAGTGTCGGGCTTACACTGGTGACCGCGAGAGGTTTCATGATATTTGAACAAATCAATCAGTTAGGCTGAAATATTCCTGTACATGATACAAATGAATGCCTATGTGATATTATGTACTTTTCATTACAATATTGATTGAAATTTCACACAATGTCATGTGATATTACTTAATCATTTATTTGTTTTCAGTAGTCATACACATTGTAGCGCTGAATAAATCCACAATATGAAAAGCTCTGTAAGTATTCGATATTTAGTGCTTAGCGCATTAATTTTAATAGACTCACCTAACTGAAAGCGCTCAGTCACGCAACCGTTAGTCATTTTAGATCAGTCACTTATCGATATATTGATAGTCTATCAAATATATATAGTCAAAACTGTTCACTTCTGACTTCTGATTTCACTGATGTGGTACGCTTCAATCATCTAAGATTTTGCTGATTATAGTGATGTCGAACTACAATTACTTGTGACGTCTTTGAGTTTTAGTGTCTGAAAACATTTCTTCTTGATTCTAAACTAATCTCTTGTTAACTGATAAACTCAGTCGACTGAATCCCTTCACTTACTATTCACTACTAATTTTCTCGAATTTTAGATAACGCAAGTGAATAATTACATAAGAGTAAACAACAATGCAAATGATGGATACATTCCAATGGTTATTAAAGAAATTGCTCATTCAAAATGAAAATAGTTATACAGCCTACATTTACTAGCTGTGCAATCACAGTTGAAATTCCTGTGCATTAATAATCGCCTGTCGCTTTTAGGTTGTATACACTGATGAAGAATATTTCTAAAGATTCAGGATCATATAGCTTCGTCGCCGCGTGGATACAACTATGTACTTGTGTACCCATACTAGGCAGTTTATTTATATCTAAAAGTGTTAACACGAGAAAGTATGCCTTGATTGTTTTGAAAGGTATTTCTGCTCGATCCCAATTTCCTGATGTCTGTGAAGACTTCATAAGAAATAAATTGAATTATGATACAAATTTGAATGTCACATTACTTCAAAAACCACTTGTCTAATGCAGCTGCGGATATATTTGAACAGTTATGAGTTTGAAAATATTTTTGTGGGAGTGTCTATGTAGATCATATCAAAAACGTTCATATTTTGACAAATCCGAACTGTTCAGGTCGTGATAGACACCAGCAAAACTTGATCCATTTGGTCGTGGATTGATTATATAGAAGAATATTGCTGATACATATCGATAACTTAAACAATAACACATAGACACTCAACCTAGACTCGTTGTTACACACGACGACTATATTTCACTCAGGATTCTCCGCATAGCAAAATCATATCAGTAAGTCTTGTTTATTGAATAATTGACCAATCTATAGAGTGTACCTGATACGGACTGAATTCTGACTTACTAGCTATTATGCAGTTGTAGTAAGAATTTTAGTAGTAGTAATAGTAGTATAGATGTGGGTGTCTGAAACATTCACAGGATACTTGAGAATAACATTGTGAAGCTATTTTTACAGATTTCGTTTTCGATATGCATTGAGTTTTGAATTATTCTTATACATTCATAACAGTCAGTAAGTTTCTTGGTTATTCGAAACATGAAAAGGTTTCGAGAATAATCAATTCCCAATAAAAATGTTTCCTACATGTTTCACATAATCAGTTGGCTGTTCGGTTTATTATGATGATAATTATTCCAAAAATATGGAAAACGGGAAGTTTAGAAGCGCAATGCAACCACAGAAAATAAAAAAAATATTTTTATTCAACTTAAATTCCAAGGTGATAATGTCACACGGTCAATCATTATGAGACTAAAAACTGCATTGACAAAAGCTTATCCTGCAGCTGAATGGATTGTCCTATACAAAAAAAAACATACAATCTGACATAATCAAAGATGGATAGGTATACCATTAATGTTACCATCAACTGTGTATGCAAATTTACATTTATCTGCCAAAGCAGTTACATTGATAAAACAAAAAGGAAGGTGTAAGCAGTTGACGAGAAACTAACGAAATAAAATGAATTCCTATTCTTCTGCACCAGTCTTTGTTCTTGCTCTCGTTAAGATCATAATTATATAGGTTATCGTCGTGTTACTGTACACAAGATCATTATAGATTTCAAAATGAGTCACTGTACTAGTACATGTATGATATAATACTGCAAAACATTGAATGGATCACAAGCAAACTGATTGAATAACCTTTAGCCGATCATCTGAGAATGGGATCACACACACACTCATTTTCTGTGATTGATAGTGAAGATGAACTGATAAAGGGATTCAACTTTATAGGTGTCATTATCAAAGTTTGATTTGATAATTTCGAATAAATTGAGCATTGGGTTGATTGTTATAAATAAAAGTGATATATTTGTAATATCTCAATGAGTCACGTTTCGTGACTTAGTGTAAGTCACTTCTTCAGAGAATAAATAAACAAATTAAAATTAATCCAAGTTTAAATAGTACAACGGAACAATGCAAGAATAATATTGGATCAATCAAAAACAGGTCTGAACAAGTTTATGTCTTGTAATTTCTATCAAGGTGATTTCTAAGTGATATGTATGTAAAGTTGTGTGTGTCACTTTAGGTTCCAACACTAAACGCAATAAGAGTGTAAAAATACACACTGTGGCAACATTTTCGAAATCATATTTGTTTCCATATTGAAGTTGGTGGCTTCTTTCAGATGTATCTATGCGTTGTTTGATGTTTTCTAATTTTTGTTTATAGTGAATGGCTATAGCATCAATCATCTTATGTGTCATCAAAATATTGACTGACTAATCCAAATAAACAGATTCAATTATAAGGAAATCATAATATGGCTATTCGAGTTCAACATTTACCCTGTTGGAGATATGAGGTATTATGTCTCACTATTGATCGTTATGTGCACAAGTATTATACCAATTCTATATAACTGATAGTGAAGTCATATGAATTGAATTGCTTAATCCTTTATATGTTTGACTATTCACTGTAAAAATTTCCGATGCTAAGTGGAAACCATTCAACTGAATAGGCCTGAATGCATCGTCAGCTTTTGTTGACTTAAATGTCATGTTGAAGTGAAAATTTGTATCATTTAGTATAAAGGAATTAAATACTTTCCAACTTACGTAAGATTCATTTGATGTGTTTTTGATTTCATACATACTCCATCATCTCAAATGAATTGATCAGTTTGAGAAACAACAACGATTGAATCAAATATGGGTTTCTTTACAAAATATAGTAGATAAACACCTTGATAGAGTACACACAAATCACTAAATGATTATGTTTGTCATAAATATAGTTTACTTTACGCTTATTTATTACATTGATTATCATCAGTGGTTTGTCAGATATTTTACTATTGATATCACTATTCTTAATTCAATGGGTATGTTTGATGCTCTTCGAATGAATTTTATAACAATGGATGACTAACATAATGAGGATTTATGAAAACGTCATTGATAGCATATTCTTATCGTGAAAAATGAACGCTGACAGTCATATATTCCAACGCTATACTGGTTTGGCCTATTTTAAATTAATCTACGCTAAAATCCAGTGAGAATCGTCCAGATGAGATAGATATTTCCATTGCTTACAATGAAGAAAATGTATGTGTTCAATAGATTTGAACATATACATTGATAGTTGAAAATAGAATTATATATTATGACAGAAGACTGTGAACACATATGAAAGAATTACATTGACTATTGAATGCTGTCAGTAAAGTGTAAGACTCATCAAATCTCATCAACATTTGATATTTCTTAATTGAATGAGTTGCATACTCGAAAGAATATTCAAGTTTTAACGCTTTCTTATTTACAATGGGATGATGAAATTGTCAGTCGAGGTACGTTAGTTATTTTATACCAAAATGAGTTCAAATGGGTACACAATCACATTTTAATTTTTGATGGATTATAATTTAAACTTGTGTTAATTTAATGTCTATGAAATCAGAAATGACATTCTTCAACTGAGTGGTATGTAATAAATAGTATACATAATATCAACTTTCTATCCAATGCTCAGTTTATCTGAAATTAACAATTATGGTATTCATACTCAATTTCTATATTTCGTTTCTGTTGCTTCCTTCTTTCATTATTCAGTAAAATGAACCATTGAAAAATCTATTTGACTAATAGAAACAGAGCTAAAGACGGTGGTGTAATGTAAGAACTAGTAATTCCCACATTTATCCAACAGACAATCTAGAGATCATGAATAAACCACCGCTCATTTAAATAAGCGAGAATACTGTGTGCACACAGTAATGTGTTGTATTTAAATTAGAATCATATACGCATTCATGTGAACATCACTTATCAGTTTAATTTATCAGTCTGATAATTTTTACTCTTCTTTCTCAGAATGAAAAAAAATCAACTTGAAGACTGACTTCAGATTCAAATCACTTTGTAGTTTTTGTAAACGAAACTATCAATATAGATTGAAAAAACTCAACAAAATAGTCGTACCAATCTGAACAAACTAAACTTTACTGTTCATGCTCATTCATTCATAGATTGACCCAACATTCCGAATTGACTAATGATATGCATGCAAACTATTGAATATTGGATCATAATACTAGAAGTCAGGCGCCATCGACAAAATCTGACAGTCAGATGTAAGACCAACGGTGAGATCTTTGAGGCATACCTTTGAAAAGTTCTAGCATTGTAAAGGAGAGCAGTCAAACGGTTTCTAGTTTTGAGTGGACGTTTAACTCAAACCAGTCTGTAATGCAACCTATGAGTACATGACGATTGCTGTTATGAATATTCTTCAATTACATCATAATTTCATATTACCCTTTATATGAAAACTGATCATTCATCTACGTGTGTGTAATTAGTCAATTCATGTTAATTTTATCAAAACCACTATTGGTGTTGTATCTTGATTTCGTCGTGCATTGATGTTTCACACGTTCACTGCATGTAACCAGCTGATCTTTGCGTTTCACTTCCAACAGCCATTGTCAATCTGATCGTATTCATGATAACGCGATTTTGTGAAACTCATAATTTCATTGTAAAATTAAAGTGTTAAACAAAACGAGTATGTGACTGGTCGAAGGACATGATGATCTACTCTGAAGGTAAGTTATTCAGATTTCGGTAAATAAAGAAGGAACGAATTGAGCGAAGAAACTTCTTTTCAATTAGTTTTTCATCATGGCTCTGCACTAATATATATACGTTTTACAATAATAATATAATACTCATCGAGTAGATATGTTACGTAATAATTACATAATGACATTTAAATTAACTTTCAGTAATTGGAAGAGAGAGGATTAATAATATTCAAAGTAATCAAGAAGTTGCTATGTTGCGTAATATAAGAAACAAAGAAGGAATAGAATTTTATCGGATGGTTAATAAGATAGAAGTTACGTAAGAATCAAGAGATGAATGTTGAGAAGTTATAAGGCTCAAAAGCGATATAAACAAAATTACAAAAATTTTGAAATAAAAATAAAAATGGAAGAAGTATGAAAAATAGTTCTTCTGACGGAAATGTTATACTGAAGGCTCCTGTGGAGCCAGTTACATAGGGCGTACAATTCGACAGGTCCGTCACCGCATTACAGAACATCATCCAACATGGCTAAGCAAAGGACAGGTGAAAGTGATTAAAAGTTTTATTCTCTCTCACTTGGTTGACACAGGTCATCAAGTCGAAGTGAATAAAGCTTTTAAGGTTATCTACAATATTCCATCAAATCTACCACATGGTTTACGAGTTCGCCTTTTGCACATTGCGGAAGCCATCGCAATCCATGTTTACAAACCTGACCTTTGCATCCAAAAGAAATTCGTACAACCACTTTTTCTACCCTGGCCTTCAGTATAACATTTCCGTCAGAAGAACTATTTTTCATACTTCTTCCATTTTTATTTTTATTTTAAAATTTTTGTAATTTTGTTTATATCGCTTTTGAGCCTTATAACTTCTCAACATTCATCTCTTGATTCTTACGTAACTACTATCTTATTGACCATCCGATAAAATTCTATTCCTTCTTTGTTTCTTATATTACGCAACATAGCAACTTCTTGATTACTTTGAATATTAATAATCCTCTTTCTTCCAATTACTGAATGTTAATTTAAATGTCATTATGTAATTAATTATTACGTAACGTATCCACTCGATGAGTATTATATTATTATTGTAAAACCTATATATATTAGTGTAGAGCCATGATGAAAAACTAATTGAAAAGAAATTTCTTCGCTTAATTCGTTCCTTTTTTATTCAGATTTTATTTATTCACTTAGTTTTTTCTTAGCTTTTTAAGATTAACCTCCAAACCATGGGTTCACACTGATGTATAATTCGTCAATAATTGAACCCGTTTCACATAACGAAACGTTGTGAATGTGTGGTCAGCACACAAAACTTCCTGATTATATTTTTATCAAACATATCGCACTTGTTCCTGGTAGAACTCGTTCTCGAAAAGTGCTAGATATAATATTGCTGATGGTCACGATCGGACAGGGTAGTGTAGACAATGAAGAAACGTCTACGTAAAGTCATAGATTAGGTAGACAACTCAAGGAAAACCGATTACATCAGTATAATGTCTATTACCGTTGTAGTAATAATACTGAACTACTCCATAATTCTACTGACTATTCAGCGGGTGATATTTGGTGCCATGTTTGGTTTCCACAATTCCATTTTGACGATATGCATCTTATAGTCGCATTAAAGTCTCGTTGTAATAATGTCTTAAGTGAATTGCTTCAAGGTTATTAAGTCTTTTCAGTACACAATAAAGCTCAATAATACCATTTAATATGACATTCCATTTAGGTTTTCATTAAACTTGAGAAACCTGATGAAAATATACTTTAGCCGTTGCGGATGAAGTCAACATGATAATGAGCTGATTGGATAGTTTAGTTATTGTCGTTAATATAGTTTACGAGATGATCTCATTGTTTATCATACGATCGGAGATATGTTGAAAGTGTGTAATGTAATCGTATAATCCGACAGGTATGTTATGGGTTTAAATTAGGCCACAATCAGCGTTGATGAGTTAACAAACATGAAATTAATCCCCACTCAATGACATATGAGTATGAATATCTCAGTAGCTTGGAAAACTAGTTACTACTCAAATTGATCTGTGACTACACTTTCAACTGGGGATCTAGTGGTTAGGGTTCGGATTTGTCTCGACTCACCAATTCTTGTGAGTGTAAGTACGCCTCTCTAAAGATTGTCAATCAACGTGAAACCCGATCAGAGCTGCACTCTCCATCGATTAAATCAAAGCATTTAACATAAGAAAGTAGTCTTCGTGACTGTAATGTTTTACTGAATAGCTCGCATTTGCAAAGTTTGTGCACACCAAACGTATACTGCAACATTGACCAAAAACACTGATATGGAATCAACAGTACAATGAAACATTGTCTTCACATTTGTCGAGTAGATTCATCATCCCGTTCACGATATTGTGAGACCATCTCACATTATACTGAGAAATCCCTTGTAACTGAACTTTAACTAAAATTCTACTTTCTCATACAAATGAATAGTTTGACTGACGTTTTCACTGTTTCACTTCAGAATGATGAATGTCAGAAACGTCTCTGTTGTTGTTTTAATATTTGCAGCTGTACTGGTAAACACTTACTACGCTATTGGAGAAAACGCATCAGCAACTGAGAAGATACCATCGCTGATGACATTTTATTTCAATGAATATTCAAAACCAACAACCCATATACAGATACTTAATTCGCTCAATTTAACTCTACTCAATATACGTGATCCTGAATAAACTACATTTGAATTGATTATGTGCATAAAGTTGTCTTTTGATTCGCATACAAATCTAAACTCGTACGACATACTGCGTATAAAACGTTTTTTAAAAGTAGATTTCAACTGATACCATGTTCAAAATCACAACTCAGCAATATTCTTGCCTCTGAAGAATCCACGACCAGATGGATCAAGTTTCGCTGGTGTCTACCAGGACCTGAATATTCCGGATTTGTTGGTATATAAAAGTATTTCATTTGATCTACACGGCCAAAATACTATTTTCAAGTTGCCCTTCTACGGTAATGGTTCAAAAGTATTCAGTTTTTGATTATATTACTCGTTTGTTTCAGGTAACGTGAAGTTCAATTGCGTAGAATTATTCAATGTATTTCCCATGAAATCTTCATACACATCACTAGAACGACAACGAATATAAGTGCCATTTATTATTTATAAAACATAATTTCACGAAGAACTGATTTGACACGTTTATATATATCTCAATTGTTCCATATCTGTATACAACTATGTTGTTATTTCCAAACCCGAATCGATGGGCGATTATTAGTGAACAGGTATCGCAACTGTGATTGTACAGCTAGCATATGTTGGCTGTATAACTACTATCTATTTGAAAGAGGGATTTCTTCAAATAATTATTGAAATGTATTCATCATTTGCATTGTGATTCACTCTTATGTAAATATCCGTTTATGTTACCTAAAATTCAAGAATTTATTAATAAGTGAGATGTGATGCCATTCAGTTGACTGAGTTTATCAATTAACATGAGATTAGTTTAGAATGAAGTAGAAATGTTCTCAAACATTTGAAAGCTTAAAGATAAAGCGAATATTTGAAGTTTGACTACACCTTAACCAGTAACAACCTTGATAATCGAAACGTGTCAACCCAGAGCAATCAGAATTCAGTAGTGAAGATTTTTAATGTTATGAATTCAATAGGCTATCGCCATATGGAGAAGTGACTGATCTACGATGCCTAGCGGTTGTAGATGTTGAGCACAGCTTACTCACTCGTGATAAAGTGCGGATGCGTGAATGGGTGCCCTCAGCTACTGTGGTCAGCGCAAAATATCGAGGACGTACAAAGAGATTGATTTTGTGAACTTATTCACAGCTACAACATGCATCCGTACTGAAACCAAATAAATGATTAAGCAAGTTGTGAAGTTGCAACTAATATGGCAATCAAGACTGCTTAATATCACATAAGCAACCGTTTTGAATATATACAGGGATCTTTAAGCTAAACTGACTGATTTGTTCAACTACCATAAATACTCTCACGGTCACCAGTGCACACCCATAACTCTGCACTGGCTCCAACTTCCATCAATTCCATACATGTCGTGGCCATCAAACCAGATCACTTTGTGTCAGTCGGCAACCAAGAATAAACAGTGTTATTCTAGTTACACTAACCAAACTATGGAAACCAATAGAAGTCACGTCAACTAATGACGTTTTCATAATTGAGATCACTTAAGGATATTAGCTAGACCATTGTTAAATATCTGGAAGCACTCCGAAGCCGTCTTATCCAAGTACATAACTCTTGATCTTTGTAAATACACGGCTACACATCTGAGAAACTTTACAAATGATGACCTTGTTCTCACTAGTAACCAGCTTCAATCTTTAATACTTGTAGTTGTAGTGAGAAACCGTGACACATGGAGTGCGATCACGTGAGGTGTGAGACAGATATCGTCATCTGGAAATGGATGAAATTTGTACGATATTGTTGATTCAACCAAAGTTCGACATTAGTACGTTTGGATGCCTACCTAGATGTCTATATGTTAGGCTTTTCCTATTAGGTTGTGCTGTGTCTCCTGGTGGATGATAATGGGTGCGCAACCAAGTGTCTTCTGATACTGTGTGTCGGCTGGAATCAAGTGTTTATCTCAGTACAATGGAAGATGGTCGCACAACTTCGTGGATCGTTTGAGATTAAACATTAACGCTATTGGATGCCAGTTCACTGGTTCAGTAGGTTAAGCTTTTGCGCTAGATACCGAATGCCCTGGGTTCGATTACCGCGAGTGGAATCGTGGATATTCACAAATTGTCTGCCAGTTCTAAGAATGCTAATCACTAATTGTGGATGTTCACGTAAATAGGGAATTTTTCACTAGTTAAGTAGATGCAAAATATATTTCGTGTTCATCAATAGCTACTGTGAAATGTTTTACGTTCAAGAAGCACTATAAAATATCGGCATTCTCCTTAACTTTAATGGAATAAGTCTAATGAAATGATGATTCCGTTGTTGAAACCAGCTAATTACTAAATGGATTGGAAGATTTTGTATCATGCTGTACAATCCTAAACAGCAACGAGAAGCCTTTGTTGTAGTAATAGTTTCGTGAGAACATATGAAATAATCATCATGATGCAGTTGACAGATTCTTGCACAAGGTCACCTAATGGTTGCGTTTTTAGCGTGTTTAAGGAAGATAGTTTTCGACGTTATAAGAATAATAACAAAAAACCTTAAAGTTATTAACGACTTACAACGTGAATGTGGTAAGATGAACGAAATGCTGCTATTTGTTTAAGAAAAGTAGTTTTAATGAAAGAAGACGTTTGAATTAGAAACACAAAGGTGATATCTGCGAAAGCATTAATGATGGGAACTTGATTATTACGAAACCTGATAAAAGAATTGGAACAAAGTGATTTCATTTACAAGATGATTTAAAACCTGAAAGATCATCATAACTTTCAGAACATGACTGAACAAAAAGTTTACAAAAATGAGAACAAAAATGAATTGACCGGATGACAGATATGGCACACAAATCAACGGGCGGATCCACTAAACATACACAAGACAATTAGTCAGATAAATACCCATTAGGTAGCATAGTAATTGATAAACATTTCAAAACCACTCCAAAAATACGTAATGAAGCCTAGTATTAAGGATGCATTCTAGTGCGTCTTCAAATTCATAATCACTAAATTTCAAACGATTTCATTCAGATGTAAAGTGATTGTTCACAAATATCCTATTCAAAGAGACTGTATACTACTATTGTGAACAACATACAGGACTGGAAATAGAGAATTTTAACTCTGTGGATATCATCAGTGAATTATTACTAATATATACGGTCCTCTGACGCAAAAGACCGACAAATTTTCTTGTCCTTGCCGATTTATGGACGATACGTTCATGCTTTGTAATAAGCATACTGTTTCGATAGAAGCATTTCAGAGATTCAATGAATATCTCACGTCCATAAAGTTCACATTGGAGAAACAAAATAGTGGTAGAACAGCTTTTGTAGACGTCCTATTTACAAGACGAAACGACGGGTCTTTAGGAAGAAACATAGGAAAGCTATCTGGATGGGTGATTCGGTTTCTAAAGGTTATGATAATCATTCGCGATGTCTCTCATCTTGTCAATGTAGTCAGGTTTGTTAAGATGGAAACTTGCAGTTCTATATTTGGTTACAGTGATAATCAAACTCTCGTCTTTATTGAGTTCATTGATGGTCTTCCTGTGTTTTTTAATTAACATACGTATGTACTTAAATTTATTATACTTAAACTGATAACAGTATTACAATAATCTTACTACATTCACATTGTTATTCGTTACCACCATTTCAAGTTTGTTGTTTATATTGGCATAATGTAGTCCAATATTGCAGTCAATCGATCACGTAATCATGATTATTCCCAGTTAATATGTTCTCACGGAACGTTTACTACAACAAATGATTTTCATTATCCATGTACGACTGTACAGCTTGATAATAAGTTCGTGGAAAAGAATTTCATTCACTGAAGTTCGAGTTTTTGAATTAAACCGTATTTTGATGTATGTTAAACATCTGAAGGTCAATGATCAGCTAACGAATAAATGTTCTCAATCATTTGAATGTGTGTTTAATCACATACCTGAATTTCATCTACGCTTGCCTTCATCGATGCTTATATGAATTTTAAGAAACCCATGAAAAAAATTCAAACCTTTCAGATAGATGTGTGACATTAATTGATAAGGCCACTTATTACAAACAAAACACAATCATAGTGTCAATATGTACTACATATCACGTAGTCTTAAATTCCTATAATTTCGATTTCTTTAAGCTGGCATTTGACTTTTCCTTATATGCTGATATAGTGAATATTTCAATGGCACCTGGACCAAACTGGTTTTTCGACGCATTGCTTCCCCCATATACTTCTATACCGATATGTGACTTCTGAGTTAATCCTGAGAACTTTGAATTACATTGTGGTGCTCCATGAAGATATGATGAAGAAATACGGAATGGAATTCTCACTTGTTCTCGTTCTCCAGACGTCTATAAAATTATCAAAGAGAAGATATTGAATTGCTCTACTTAATTGAATATAATATTACCTCGACTACTGATTCGTATGATGCACAATTGCTTGTATCTGAAAATTCACCATAGAACAATCTGAAATGAGAATGTGGACCCTGTCTATGTAGGTCAATGATTACACCGTCAAAAGCTGGCAAAACATCATCAGCCACTATCCAATGAACTCCAGCAAAACTTGATTCATTTTCTCGTGGAGTGAGAAGATAAAAGAAAATCGCTGATTGGTAATTCTAAACGTGATGTTGGCTGAATTACATATATAAATAAAATTTACATGTCCTTTAAGTCGTACGAGTGTAGCCTTAGATCGCCCTCCAATTACAGTGGCATCTGATACCTCAATCCAATTTTCAAATGCATTGGTGTTATAATCAGTGAAGTTGAAGAGAGTTAAATTGGCTAGATCACGTCGCCGTGTGATGGTGGTTTTAAATGAATTTTCCTTCATAGCTTTGCAAGTGTTGAGTAATAAAGTTATAAATATTACGACGATGACAGAGATATTTCCAATGACCATTCTGAGATGAAACTGATACGAATTCAGTTAAGCTATTTATCTGTAAGGTAAAATGTACTGATAATTGAAGTTCACTGGAAAGTTTGTTATCAGTATAATGTGACATGGTCCTACAATATCGTAGACTGATTAAAGTTAAACACTGACTGTTGGGTGACGAATCAGTGGCCAAGTTCTATGCGTGGAATCGTTGATGAGCAATAAGTGTCCTACTGTAAGTCATGATGAACACTTTTCAGTGTCACAAATATATAATACATTTGTAATATCCCAACGAATAGAAAAATTATATATTCTGACGCTTAGTGTAAGCCACGTCTTCAGAGAATAAATAATCGAATTAAAATGAATTCAGGTATTATTTGAACTTCGATCAATTTTGATTTGGTTATATATTCTCTGGTGAACTGTTTTACACTAGGTGTCAGATTATCTCATTTTTCTACTCACTGTGATATTACCAAGATATTGTTTATTTGTGACAATCTACTTAATGCTCAATTTATTCGAAATTATCAAATCAAAGCTTGTAAATGATACCTACTTATCAGTGCCGTCCTATCAATAACATGACAGAGTTCGATCACCATCGCGGTTCCTCAGTTCATGCCCCTCGTGTGGGATCGTTGATGGCGACTGAGTTTCCTATTGTAAATTTTGGTGAACACTTATCTTTATGATTATGTCAGAAACATGTTTTTATCTGCTTGCCGTCAATTACTTCTCAATCTACTACAGAACTAGTGAAACACAGTGCAATGTTGATTACCACTGCTCCGCTCTTAAAATCACATTAATTTGGCAGTGTTTCTTACTAAAACTACATTAAACTATCCCAAAGCTAAACGCAACTGAATACGGTACTGATGGTTATATTTCATAAAAAATGAAAAAAAATGTTGTGAAGATTGACCATGTTCGCAATACCGAACAATGCCATTTCGATTGATTGTAGCCTCTCAGGCTCAAGTCCTTTATACTTAGGTTATCAATTTGGACTCCCACGTTCACAATTACAATTTCAGTCGATTCTCAATGTTGCACTAACACCATCCACACTTTATAGTGAACTCCACTAAATAATGATGACTTTTATTTCACAAAGCTTGTACGTTTTGTCAACCACAACGATTTGTTATGTTCAACTGTTTCTCTAACTGACAAATTATACATAAATGTGGACACATGTTTCAGTGGTCAATTTAACTAAGCTAATGAACAATAGAATAACTTACCCTTACAGTAAAATATCTTGTGTTTTCAAAAGATCACATACTCGTTCGCTTTTATACTTTCATTTCACAACGACATTGTGAGATTCAACCAATCATGTTATCACAAATACGATCGGAATCATAATGGTTATTAAGAGTGTGATGCAAATATCAGCTGATTAAATATGGTGGACGCATGTGACATAAATGTATGGCATCATTACGAAATTATATGAAGAGCAATTTAATCAAACCAAAATGAGTTCACTAGTAACACACGCGCATACACAAGCAGATGATTGATCGGTTTTCAAATAAAGAGCAATATAAAAATGTGGTGTAATCCAAGTATATTAAGGTAGGCCATCTTTATTTTCTTGTACTTCATATCACAAAGTGACCCAAGTTAATCGTTCACTCAAAATTAGAAAGAGTTGAACTGCTATTCCACATAAACATAATCATATGAATAAAACGTTCTTGAAGAATTTGAGATGTAATTGTTGAGATCAAATAAATGGCCTACGTGTTGTGTGGAGCAAATTGGAATCCGTTTGACTTGGGCCTGATTGACTGAACACATGTTTGATTATTTTGGAGTTCTGAATAACCCTAAAACACCACGAACAGCTATGAGTCTATTGGAATGATTCGAAACTCAATGCATATTGAAAACGAAAGCTGTAGGATTAGCCGAATAACCATATTCTCAAGCATCATTTTAAGGTTTCTGACTACTACGGAATAGATAGCAAGTGCGAATTTAGTCTATGCAGGTTTAATCTATACATTGGTTGATTATCCATTGAGCGGACCCACTGTCATGAACTCGATAGCAGGATACAACCGAATTATAGCTAGGCGACTTATGAAACATGGAGACTAGATCGAGTGTATATAGCAAAACAGTTTGCAAAACAAAAATCGATTTCACAATGAAATCATTCGTACTCTGGTTTATAATTGTTTGCAACTTATTTTGTCGTTTAATTTGATGTAGAAATATAGAAAACCTGTTAATAGCCAACGCTAGGCCATTGTATTCATTTTGAACAAAATTATAATCGTGTTCAGAACTTCTGATTGTCTGGAATTTGTGCCGAACAAATCACCTAAACATTGATGGAATGAAAAACGTGATAATTCCGTTGTTGAAAATTAAAAATGCGGAGTTAAACAAAGAAAATTATTTTCAGCAAATTTAGTGTCAAGCTGTACAATCGTGTGTATGAATATGAAGAAATTGATAGGTTCTCACTTTACTGGCGAAATATGGACGACACGTTAATCATTTGTAATGACCGTGGTGGCTTGATAGAATCACATTAACGATTCGATGAAGTTCACCCGTCTATCAAATTGATATCAACCTACATTACAAAAGAAGACATTAATCTGAGAAATGGAAACAGACATGAGAAGAACGAACAAAAATTGGAAAGATCTGGAAAGGATAGTTCAGGGCAGAATGGTTGGTGTCCTATGAACCATCGGGAGTTATAGGCGTTAGCAAGTGAAAGAGTAATTACACTATTCTCCATCTATCTCCCCCTTACACCATGTTAAGTATATTTATTCTGATTATTATTTATTCCATAATTTGATTTCACTTATAATCTTATTCGATTTAACACTTCATAATCGGCTTAAACTAGACTCAATTGAGACCTTGTTACAATCTCATCTCTTTTTCTATATATTTTTTGTTAAAACCGAACTGGACATCAAATTTAGCACATGGAACGCATTGGACGGATGCGATCAATTAGCTTCAACGTTATTAGCACCACACGTTTAGGACTTTTAAATACATCCGCTAGCAAACTGTAGTATTAGGTTACGTAATGTGAACAAAGAAAACGTGTCTGTAACAATATGGTTGAAATGTTGCTGTCGGTTTGATTATAGTACATTTATCTGCAGAAGTACTTTAAGTGAAAAACACAAGGAGGCTATCGAAGAACTCACTCACATTTTTCCCTATAAACTAGAAAACGGTCAATCGGCGCAACAGTATGACAAGTTTTCGTTGTACTGCCGATACATGAACGACACATTTAAACTTCGTAATAGTCATAATATCTTGATAGAAGCATTTGAGCGACTTAATGAGATTCACCCGTCCTTAAAGCTATATAACTCTTCACATTACACAATTTCTGTTTTTGAATCGCATTATTCTCTAACTGAATCTCACACCAGGTTGACCATATTTATTTTAATCAATAAATATTTCACAATCTGATTTCACGTATAAACCTATACAAGTTAACATTTCATAATCGGCTCAAAATAGTCACGATGAAAACTCCTTCGCAACCTAATCGGATTGTATATATGTTTCATTGTTGAAACTAAAGTGGACATACGAGTCACCACGTAAAACGCATTGAACTTATGTGATCAATCAGGTCTGACGTGTTTATCCCCCAATGTTTAGGACTTTAAATAACATACTTTGTCCCTTATTCAACTTGCGATATACTGTAGTGCAAACTTTAGTATTATCCTACACAATTAACTTCATGTTATCAAAATATTCATGACGATCAGGTATTACCACACCGGCTCATTTGTCAGGCTTACTCAGGATCAAACCCTTATTTTTATTCAGGCGAATCAGCTGATTCAAATGATACTTAGTTACCGAGTTATTCATACTGTTGCGGCGGAACTGTGGAGATAGTACTGACAACCTTATTCTGTAAATAGTTTTCAATGTTATTTGAATTTATTTTGTCAACCTTCCATTGTATGTATATTTAACATTAAATGACTGTAACGGTTGTTTTAGTAAATGACCTTGAACACACTTTCCGTTGTACTACTACATAGCGTGACATACCGCTGCTGGCTAACAAATACAATGCTTCTCACATACTCCTCGTTCTATTTTCATTTGTGATTGAGCTAGCCGAAGTCTAACTCAAATACTATCTTCATTTATTGACTGTAACCGGAATATATCACATCCTACGTTAGGTTATATCATTAGAGAGTTCACCAACCTGTTCAGAATCAACAAACATTTATAATTGTGGATTTACATTACTGGACCTAATCATAACACGCAACGTCTGATCAATTTAAGTAACGTCCTTAATTTTTATTGTATTTGTAACAATTAATTATATATATTAATATTACTATTGATTTTTAATAACTTTGTTTATATTTTTTGTGTTCATATCTGTTTGGTCCACCACAATTATTTGGTGAGCCTTGAATTCATTATAGACGTTTACTGTTTATATATATATTCATTTTTTTATTACTTGGCACGCTGGTCCATTTATTTTTGTTTTTGCCATCATGAACTCTCCTGGTAAACTCATTGATATAGATAGTCCACTGATCAACTCATTGAACTCTTCACAATCAGAAGATAATGCCTTAACCTCGATCAACGCAATTTCAGACTTAAGACTACCAACGTTTGGCGTTAATAATCCAAGAATCTGGTTTGCACAAATCGAAGCTTTGTTCATGGCTAGAGGTATGAAATCTCAGGCAACAAAGTATGCTTATGTAGTTGGGGCACTCCCTATTGAGATTGCTGCTGAAGTCGGAGATTTAATCGATCACGTGCCAGAAGCTGAACCTTATGATAAAATAAAGACAGCCGTAATCCAACGCACCTCGGTTTCAGACGAGAGAAGACTGCAGCAATTGCTAACGTCTTGCGAATTGGGGGACAAGAGACCCTCGCAATTACTCCGACATATGAAACATTTATCAGGATCGTATAAGCTAGACGATGCATTACTTAAACAGATGTGGTTTCAACGTTTACCACAGAACGTCACCTAAATTCTCAGCGTATAAGGAACTTCCGTCAATCTCGACGATCTAGCTGATATGGCTGACAAAATGATGGAGATTTATTTCGACAGCCAGCGTTTGAATGTACTACAAACCTCTAGTAGAGACACGATTAGCCCATCTAACAGCATCCAACAACAAATAACACAGTTAACACAGCAGCTAGCAGCACTGCAGGCTACTATTTCCACCATCCATTCTCGACCTGCCAGATCTAAGTCCAGAAGGAGATCAGTATCCAGACCTCGCCTTAGGTCAACCAAACGGACAGCGTATACTTACTGGTATCATGCGACTTTCGGGGAGAAGGCACGCCGTTGCACTAAACCATGCAACTTTAAAATAAGCAACCCAAATGACCAGGGAAACGAGACGGCCAGACAGTGATGGCGGCGCCTGGTTCTGGCCACTACCCGAGCCGTCTATTTCACGTCAGGGATCGTATTTCGGGATCAGATTTTTCGGTCGATACAGGAGCCGAAATCAACATAGTCCCATTACACCTTTCTCAACGACGGCACTGGCAAAGTATTAAATTGTCTCTAGTCGCAGGTAATAACACAGCCATTAAAACTTATGGTGAACAATCACTTATCTTAGATCTTGGTCTCCGTAGACGTTTCACATGGGTTTTCATCGTAGCTGAAATCAAACAACCCATTCTCGGAGCCGACTTTCTTGGTGCTTACAGCCTAGTGGTAGACATGGGGAAAAAGAAACTTATTGACAAGAACACAAGTTTACAGGTCAGTGGCACTCCTACCTCGAATTACGAAATTCATGGCGTTGGAATGTTAAAACCTGAAAACAAAATTTTCACTGATATCCTGTCGAAGTACGAAAGCATAACCAGAACTGATTACCAAAGCGAACGCTCCACACATCATGTTCAACACAATATCTCTACTACAGGACCACCCATTCGTGCCAGGGCGCGAAGACTCCCTCCAAACAAGTTGCAGTTCGCCAAGAGAGAATTCGAACACATGATGCAGCTTCGGATAATCAGACAGTCTAACAGTCCTTGGGCCTCGCCGTTGCATATGGTTCCCAAGAAAGATCAAGACTGGCGCCAATGTGGAGATTATCGCCGACTAAATAACCAGACTATCCCAGACAGGTATCCAATACCTCATTTACATGATTTTTCTTTAAATTTACATGGGAAACAGATTTTTTCAAAGTTAGATCTAGTCCGAGCATACCATCAAATACCGATGGCACCTGAAGATATCGAAAAAACAGCTGTACTTACACCTTTCGGACTAAAAAACGCCGCTCAAACCTTTCAGAGATTTATGTATGAAGTAACTAGACGTTTGGAATTTATATTTGTCTATATCGACGACGTTTTAATCGCTAGTTCTTCCACTGAAGAACATGTTAAGCATTTACACACGCTTTTTGAACGTTTCAAAAGTTATGATGTTGTAATCAACCCTTCGAAGTGTATATTTGGAGCCTCATCTCTGGAATTCCTAGGACACCATATTGATTCCCAAGGAATGAAACCGCTTGAAGAAAAAGTCAATGCCATCTCCAGCTACCCAGAACCAACCTCAGTAAAATCACTACGTCGTTTTCTGGGAACATGCAATTTTTATCGTCGATTTCTATCAAATTGTGCCGAGGTACTACAGCCATTGACAGATTTACTGAAAAATGATAAATCAGGTACCAATAAAGAAAAAAACCAAATATTTAAGTTACCTTCCGATGCTAAAGTAGCATTCGAAAAAGTTAAATCCAAGATTGCTAATGCTACCATGTTTTTGTTTCTCTATATCCTTCATTTTGTATTTCATACTGTTTGCTGTGGGAACATAAGAATGTGAAGGACACTTAAGCAGACTATTCGTATTTTGTGATATAAAATTTGATACCCAAGTTCGTGTTTGCTTCCAGTGTTATATTGTCTTCGTAAATTGCAAATAGATAGATATACCGTACTTCAATAACGGGAAGAAGCAAAAGCTTGAACGTAACACTTACTATATTCTATTTTAAAATATCCATGAACACAATCTACTCATGAGGATTACATATGCTGTAAAACTTGTGGGCATATTGTCAGCATTTCAGTCGACCTGTTCTTGGGGTGCAAGGTGCACTGGCTGTAGACAACGCTCACTTTCAACTTGGATACGTAAACATGTTTCATTGGTCAACATGGGATGAGAGAGAGAATAATATAAAGACAGACCGGAAACCGCTTATCGTGTCAAATAGAATGAATCCAGTAAATATAAGTAGTTGGATTTGGATGCTGAATAAAATTCTCAAAAACGGGTTGGCAGTTAACTGAATATCATTATTGATAATAATAATCGTATAAATGATGTCAATGGTAAAATGTATTCATAAAGTAAGTTTGGGATAATAACAAGAACGTTATTCTAATTCAGTCCCCATATTATCAAATCGATAATTAACTAGTCGGACCCAAATGTATTGAGAGTAAGAATAACGTCTGGACATAATTCTTTCAGGAAAGTATCTTTGGCAAATTCATCGTAATAGCAATTGCTTTAGAGGTGAGGAGGATTCTTAGTCTGACGAAATTTCGTGGACTGCGATCATCACGTAATATTATTGCGAAGTATTGCTCCATGTTGGCTGTATGTTTCATTTGGGTTGCCAAGTTACTTACTCACACCTGTTCCTCCAAATGAGACACAGGTCACCGACCAGCATTCTTCAACCCACTCTGCCTTGTGCTATCTTGTTTAGATCTATCCAATTTTTGTTCGTTCTGCTCATGTCTGTCTCCGTTCCTCGGCGTAATGTGTCCTCATGCATTCCCTTTCTACTTTAACCTTGATGATTTCAATTGAAGGCTTGTCTTGTGACGCAGTTGTGTGCTTAGCACAATGTGCGTTCCATCCGCTTCCAGTGCTTCTGTCTGATTTCCTTCTCCGCTAGCATCTGGTTTCTTCTCTCGCATAGTTGTTTGTTGCTGATAGTGTCTAACCAGCGGATCCGAAATATTTTGCTCAGACAAATGTTTGAAAACACATGTCCCTTCTAGATGATGCTTTTTCAAAGTTTTTCAAGTTTCCATCACATGTAGTGGAATTGTCTTCACATAAGTATTGAAAATTCTGACCTTGGTGTTGATTGACAGTTGTTTTGAGTTCCAAATGTTCTTCAGTTGTAATTATTCTGCTCCTGCTTTGCCGATCCGCCCCTTCACATTTGCATCTGATCTACCATGTTCATCGATGATGCTGCCCAGATTTGTAAAGGATTTTTCGTATTTTAAATCTTTCTCGTCAAATGTGATACGATTATTGCATACTGTGTTGTTTCAAAGAATGTCACTTTCCGTTTGTGTTTATCGAGACCTCTTATTGATGAGGCTTCAGCGACACTGGTCGTCTTCTTCTGCAACTGTTGTGTATGAGATAGAAGAAACAGATCATTTGAAAATCTAGATCGTCCCGCTGCATCCTAGCTGCAAACGGTATCCCATGCTTTTCCACAAATGTTGAAAACTTCATAAACCAGCAAATCACTGAGAAAGAGCAAAAGCGTGAGAGCAATCAACCTTGCGTGACACCGGCCTTTACAGGGAACGAGCGGGTCAGCTATCCTCCATGCACGACTTTGCAGTTTAATCCGCCGTAGGAATTCCGTTTGATATTGCCTAGGTGCGCTGTTGTGTCCACGCTGTCAAGAAAGTTCCTGTAATGATGAATTCCATTCAATTGATTGTTCACCAACGATCCGTAGTGTTGCGTTTCAGTCTGTACACGATCGATCCTTACGCAATTCAGTCTTTTGATCTCGAAGTATGGCATTCTCGGAGTCGTTTATTCCGTTTAACAACATCTTGTTAAAGACATTTTCCGGTATTGAGGGAAGAGTTATTCTCCTGTAGTTATCTAAGTTGATGAGATCGGCTTACGTCGGCATCTTGGTTAGGTGTCTTACTTTCCAGTCTGTTGTTATTTGTTATTCATCCCAAATTTTGCCGAAGAGAATTTGAAGCATCCATGCAGTTTTTGACACGTTTGCATTCAGTATCTCTGATGGAAAGTTGTCTGGTCGTGTTGCTTTGCTGCTGCTGATTTGTCTGATGACCGTATAGATCTCTCCGATTGTTGGGCCAACATTAATTAAGAGATCCGCTAGTGCTATTCCGATGTCGTGTGTGTTCAGTGAAGCTAATCGACTCACGAGTTCTTTGAAGTATGGGCTGTACTTTGAAGATGGTAATTATTTTGCCCTCCTTGCTTTTCACCGGTCGTTCTGGTTTGCGATAATTTCCTGCGAGAGTCTTACGATTGTCTCATGTGTCCTTCTAGTGCAACCGTTTGCGCCGTCATTAATATATTCTCCACATATTGACGTTTGTCTGTTCTGATGACCCGCTTTACGTGCTCGTTTACTTCTATGTATTCATATTGTGCCATGGATTTTTGTGATCTTGTTCGGCTGGTATCGATTGCTGATTTCTTCTTCCTCCTATCTTCAATCATATCCGGTGTATCAACAGATATCCATTCCTTGTGGTGGTGTTTATTGTGGCCTTTCCAGTTGCTATTTATAGTAGTTCCCCATCCACTGAGTAGATCATGAAAGGCGTGGAACTTATTCCCGACGGCTATCTTGAATTTGTTGAGTTTGTCAGTGTCCCGAAGTAAAGCCGTGTTAAACGTTTGTGAGGTTGTCCGCCCTGCGCTCCAGTGCTTCTTGAGTTTTAATTTCATCTTGACGACCAGCATGTGATGATCTGATGGTATATCTGCTTCTCTATTGAATCTCACGTCCTCTATCGTCCTCCTCAACATTTTGTTGACGCATATATGTACGATTCGGTGTTGCGTAATGTGATCCGGTGAAGCCCATGTGCTTTTGTGAGACGGCAGTTCAAAGCATTCTAATGTCAACTGCATGTTCAGCTTAGATCAGTCAGTAATGTAAAATACAAGAACATAACATGTGCTATGCTCAGTATTCTCTAATTAGGTCACAAGTTAATATTA